ACTCCCATCAACAGATGAATGGATATCAAAACGTGGTCTATGCATATGTACCACGGCTTATTACTCAGCTGTGGAAAGGACTGATGCTCTTCCTAATGCTACCACATGCAGGAACCATGAAAACAGGATGCAACAGGACAGCAGCCAGGCACCAAAGGTCCCCTCGTGTGTGATTCCATTTGTAAGAAGGTCCAGGGAGGCAAGTCCACAGACGGAAAGTGGTTTGGTGGCTGCCAGGGGCTGGGGACGGCTCCACGGACACAGGGCTTCCTTGGGGGTTGAAAGTGTCTGGGAACTTGGCCAAGGTGGTAACCGTGCTAAACGCCACTCAGCTGTGCACTTTAAATAGAAGCGCTCACAGCCCCGGGTGCTGCAGACGTGGAAACATCAGTGTGGCAAAGGGTTCTGGATTCCAGCCACACAGCACCTGGTACCCAGTCAGGGCAGCCCCTGGAACTCATCTTCTGAGCCCAGAGAGTCAGGGAGATGGGAGACTTTATGTATTCTCCAAACTCCTACTATGGAAGTTTTAAACACACAAGAAAACTCAAAAATATTCTGATGATACCTAATACCCTCCACTTAATTTTTTTTTTTTTTTTTTGGCTGCAAGTCATGTGTTATCTTAATTCCCTTACCAGGAATCAAACTGGCTGCACTGGAAGCACAGAATCTTAACCACTGGACAACCAGAAAAGTCCCTACCCTCCACTTACAATAGCTGGAGTCTGAGAAAATGTAACAAGCCCTTAGAAGTGAAAGTGAAAGTCTCTCAGTCGTGTCTGACTCTTTGCGACCCCATGGACTATACAGTCCATGGAATTCTCCAGGCCAGAATACTGGAGTGGATAGCCTATCCCTTCTCCAGCAGATCTTCCCAACCCAGGAATCAAACCAGGGTCTCTGGCATTGCAGCCGGATTCTTTACCAACTGAGCTATCAGGGAAGCCCACAGTCCTTAGAAAAGAACATGTGAAAAGGAGGAAGTGGGTCAAGAGTAATATTCTGATGAGGGGATCAAAATGATCCAATGTTTGGATCATGGTGGGTGATTCCAGCCACCTGAGAATCACATAGAGAGTGAGTCCGTAAAGACGATTGTTTCAAAGGATTGTCTGTAAAGGGAAAGGAGAGAGAGATAGAAGTGAAGGGAAGGGACGAGGAAAGGGCTTGGTTCTGCTTGTTTTAAGATGGAAAGGCAAGGAATCCAGATCGGAAAAGAAGAAGTAAAACGCGCACTATCTGCAAACAACATGACACTATACAAAGAAAACCCTAACGGTTCCACCAGAAAATTACTAGAGTTAATCAATAAAAATACTAATAGCTTCCACGATTATCACTGCATTTACTTTCTCTCCCGCACTCTCACCTGTTCTCCCTACCCCTTGGAAGTGAGTTGTAGCTATCACATTTCCCCTAGACATTTCTGCATCTTTCTCCTCAAACGAAGGACAATCTCCACCATAACCACAAAATTATCATCATGCCTCAAAGATTTTGTAAGAATTTCATAATATCATAGAGTTTCTCATCCATACTCAAAACTCCCCAAATAAGGCAAGGAACTCTTAGCTGCCCCCCCCCCCTTTTTTTAATCCAGTGTAGACTCAGGGTCACAGTTGGTTATTTCCCGCTAGTCTCCCGTCATCTGATTTTGTCCTTGGACCCAACTGCTCAGATAAGGCAAGGAACTCTTAGCTGCCCCCCCCCCCCTTTTTTTAATCCAGTGTAGACTCAGGGTCACAGTTGGTTATTTCCCGCTAGTCTCCCGTCATCTGATTTTGTCCTTGGACCCAACTGCTCAGATGACAGGAAGTACAGGGCAGGCGTGTTACCTGGTAGGCTGATCCACAGGCGGCGCGTGGCGCCTGCTCCCCCAAGTGCTCTGACCTCTTCCTTCCGTCCTGCCCTGTATTTCCTGTCATCTGAGCAGTTGGGTCCAAGGGCAGAACTGGACTCGGCCATTGCTGAGGCATGAACGCTCTGTGTCTGTCTTACGGCATGGTATCTGATGGTGGGCTCCAGGCCCCACTCCGACAGGACCCGAGCTTGACCCTTTGCAGACTGTAAGACCCTCTCGGTTTCCCGTCTGCTCATAAATGATCTTCGGAAGTCCTGGGACTTGGTGACAGCAGCCTGTCTCCTAAAGAGCTCCCAGCCAGGGACTCAGGCCCCCCGGGTACCCTTGCTGAGACCAGCTGTCCTTCGTGGGCTGCACAATGCTGAGTCTCTGATTCTTTCCTCCTGAGCGGATTCTTCTAAAGGAGGTATTTCTCCTTTTTTCCCCTTCCTCCTTTTTTTTTCCTTTTCATTCAACATCTTACAAATGGTAAGATGATTTCAAGTTATTCTAAATTTGGCCTCCGAAAAGGGACTACTTTGAAAGGAAAAGAATGGATTCCTGAGTCAGCCCCTCCAGGCACAGGGGAATCTTCCAGGGGAGACGAAGGAGGAGCTAGAAATGGAGCGGGAGGGGAAAGGTCAAGACCACAGGCAGGAAGCAGGGTTGCTCCCGGGGGCTGCTTCTCAGCTCTGCTGTGCCTCCTGCCTCCACCACGAGCACACATGAGTGCGTGCACACACACGCGCGCGTGCACACACACACACACCCTGGCTCGTGAGAAGGGCTGGAGCGGCTTCCCCAGCTGCAGACAGGACAGAGCTCACAGACCAGCCTCCCCCAGGACCGTTTACCCCGGAGAATCTGTGCCCGGAACACCCGCAACCCCATGGACTCATCTCCCTCCAGGCTCCACACCCACCCCGACCTCATGGTCCAGGACGGGCTGAGCTCAGGTGTGTGAAGCACAGAGAGGCTCCAGAAACACCTGTGCCTGGGTGTGGTGGAGGCTGTTTCTAGAAAAAGCCTGCCCTTTCTTTACAATGCTGGGGAGAACAGCTTCAGTCCTCTCCTGGGACACATTTGCGGAGCGCTTGGCATGCGCCAGAGCCGTAGCAGGCACTGGGAGCCCCATGCGAGGACAGACGGACAGAACCCCTGCCCTCACCACGGAGCTCCCCGTGTCTGAATATTAGGTCACTGACGGGTCTAGACCTTCCAGGGCCCATGCCACCCTGCAGACAGATCTAACACGGAGCTGGTGGGCTCAGGGATACTGCCTACAGAGGCTTCCAGGTGATCCCAGGGCTGAACCCCACCTGCCCCATGGGGGAGGAGGAGAGGGAAGGGGGCAATCACACCCGGCAATGGGGACCCCAGGCTCCAGGGTCACCATGCACCCCATCCCATCCTGCGGGGAGGGAGGGAGGTGGCAATGAGTCAAAGAATATGCTTTAATAATAAATTCTAGCCTGAGAAAATAGGAGGAAAGCCATCACATATATGGGCATCCTACAACTAGCATGATTTCCTTACTTCCTATTTCATCATGGATGGGTCAGATACACCTCTGAAAGACATCTATTGTTCAGCAAAGCAGCTCTCTAGATTTGGAGCAGTGGGGTTTGCTTCCGCGAGGCTGGAGTGCCATCTAGTGGCCGAGCCAACTTCAGCCTCCCGCCACCTCCAAAGTGGTCTCGTCCTTTGGTGGAGAGTCCCAGCCCAGCCGGCTTCCCTGGTGCCCGGTCAGTAAAGAGTCTGCCTGCAACGCAGGAGAGTACCTGCAGCGCAGGAGACACGGGTTCAATCCCTGGATCGGAGGATGCCCTGGAGAAGGAAATGGCAACCCCCGCCAGTGTTCTTGCCTGGGAAATCCCATGGACAGAGGAGCCTGGTGGGCTACAGTCCATGGGGTCTCCAGAGTCCGACATGACGTAGCAACTCAACCACCCAGCCCTGCTACCCTGAGTGAGGAAACAGACAGCACAAGGACAGTCTGACACCGCAAGGGCTCACATCTCCCACGCTCCATCTGCAAGGGAACAGTCGTATGAAAACCTTCACTGCAGTGAGAAACCGCAGGGCCCGCAGCAGTAAGCTGCCAGGTTTCACCCGGAAACTGTCTAGGAAAGAAACGCGTCTGGGGGACGTCCAGGGGCTCGGCGTCAACAGGGAAGGCCGCTTTACCTTTGTCCTGTTGATCCTTACAGTTGACAAAGTGAAGCCACTTTTTTGGGGGGCTGGGGGGAGGATAACAGTGGCGTCTTATTTAAAATTTCACACCTGCTTATCACAGTCTCAGAGGGGAAAGCAGCGTCACCACCTCCCCAGCAAGTAGCCGCCTTTGCACTACCTTCACGTGGCCTGGCTCACCTTCCAGAAGGGCCGTGGGGGGCCTCTCCAAAGGGAGGAGCCAGGTGAGCCCGTGACGTGTCTCCACCCGAAAGATGCCCTGTGCCCACCTCAGCCGCGGCCCCCACCTACAAACTCATCAGACCACATGCGGGAAAGGGGTTTACTTTTAGGAGAAAACTCACTGGAGCAGAACAAGGTATCCCTCCGCTAGAAATCCGAGTCCTCAAGCCTATGGGCCCAAGCGTCTTGTCCCCATATTCACCCCGAGAAGCGGACAGTGGGGCCCCCGCCCCGCCCCCAGCTGCCCCCCTCAGGGACCCTCACAGAGGTCCGGTGACAACGTGGCCCGCTCCAGTGGGGCGTGCTGACCCCTCTCTCCTGTCCCAGGAGCAGGTGAAACCCCCCAGCCTAACCCAGGGCAGCCTCCTGTCCAGAACTAAGTGCCTGCCGGCTGATTTGCCCTCTGACCATCTCCTTCTGGGGTGCCTGGTGAGGGGGTCACCTCCAGGCAGGGTCAGGCGTGCCCACCCCCAGGACATCCGGCATTTAGGCGGAGCCCACGCCCTCTGGAGGCCCCCGGACACGCAACCATCTCCCGAACGATTCCCGTGAGCTTGGGAGGCAATTATTCTAAGGAATGCCGGCCTCCTGTGCCTCGAGGACTCAGGCACGCGCCGGGCTCGACGGTGGACCAGGGTCAGCGCCGCCGTCACCACGGAGCTGGGGCTGTCACCACCTCGGAGGACCGCTGGGGCGCGGGCTGGGAGTACTCGCTCCCCGCGGCTGCCCCCGGAGCGGCCGCTTCTAGTGGGCACAGCATCAGCCCCGCAGCGAGGGCCGCTCGCTCAGGGTCAGTGGAGCGTCTCTTCGCCGCCTCTGGCCCTCCTTGCCCTCTTCTCTCCGCGAAAGCTCCCGGGCTGCGGACGACAGGAGGGGTAAGCCCGGCTGGGAGGGAAGCCCCCCAGTCCAGCACAGCCCCTGCACCCTTGGCAGCCCCTGGAGACCCGCCCCTCCTCATACTCTCTGGGAACCAGGAAATAGGCGCCCTTGACTCCTGTCCACCTTCCGGGCCCCTGGCAACATTCGGCTGGGCCCCGGGAGGTCAGAGAAGACCCGTGTGAAGAAGGCGCCCCCCCTACCTCCGGCTCCGGGACTGGTCACTCACCGACGGTGTTGAAGACCTCGGTCACCTGGTAGTTCAGTTTGGCCGAGGTTTCCATGAACAGCAGCCCCTGACTCTCTGCAAACTCCTTCCCTTCCTGGAGGAAGTGATCATGGAAAGTCCACATTAATCATCAGAAATGTCCTGAGAAGACCCAGAAAGGCCACAGGACAGTTGCACCAGTGGAGAACCTCATTCCTCCCGCCCTGTTACTGGGTCTCCTGGGGAAGGCGGCCAGGACTGGGCAGTGGGGCCAAGAGGGGGTGTGGCGCTCACTGAGGGGAGCCTGGCACCCCCAGGGGGGTCTGCAGGGAGGCTCCCCTCCCACTGTGAAATCTGGGGTGGGGTCTCCAAAAGCAAGCGAGAACAGAGGAGATGTGGAAGGGGGATGAGGCCAGCCTGGTGGGAGCCCCCTGGGCCCTTCTCTGCTCCTCCTCCTTGCTGTGTCACAGAGGTCAGGCCTGCGTGGAGTGATGGTGTGTGGAGCAAGGGAGGCTGGGAAACTCCAGGGGCTGCCTGTGTGGCCAAGAAGGGGAGAAGTGTTCACGGGAAGACAGCATGAAAGAGAACCTGGGGGGCTCCCCGGGCAGGACCCTCACCTCCGGACCCTCCCAGAATAAGCCTGGGCCCCAGATGGTCCTGCCTGAGGCTGAGCGAGCCCTGGGGGCTGGGCCAGCCAGGCCTGCAGCATCACACCCAGCAGTGTCCACCCCTCCTCCCCTGGCCCACAGAGCTACATTCCCCCCGCCCCAAGCTTCTCAGCCCCTTCCCAGACACAGAGATGGTCATTATCATTTGTGTTTTAAAGGACAACGTGACCTGGTACAAATGAAGACTTGTGACTTCAGGTGGCTTATATCTGGTCATATCTGCATGCATGCCCAAGTCGCTCAGTCATGTCCAAATCTTTGCAATCTCATCAGCTGTGGCCCGCCAGGCTCCTCTGTCTGTGTGACTTCCCAGGCAAGAATACTGGAGTGGGTTGTCATTTCCTCCTCCAGGGGATCTTCCCAACAGGGATCGAACCCTCTTTTCCTGCGTCGCCTGCATTGTCAGGGGGATTCTTCACCACTGTGCCACCTGGAAAGCCCCTGGTCATCTGAATGAAACCCAAATATCTGCCTTTCCCCCACTAGCTTGAGGGTTCCAGGTGGGTCACTGTGAGGGTTTTTTCTTGGTCCAGTGGGCCTCTAGCCCCTAAACTGCAGGTCCCCAGGCTTCTGTCTGCCAGTTTGTCCTTGAGGTCCCCCAGGATGGGGTTCATGGTTATCTCACTGCCCATGGAATAAGAACATCCAGTGCATAGATCTTGGCTCCTAAATTCATTCCCCCACACAAGGAACCAGAGCTCCTCGGCGAAATGATGGATTTCAGGGCTGGGCTGGGAAAGGGCAAGATGAACCAGGAACAACTTGGCCAGCCAGGAAGGAAGACCTCAAAGAATAACGGGGCAGGAGGGGCAAGGCCCACTGGGGTGGGGAACTTCTCAGTGGCCAGATCCAGGAGCAGAGCTCCCTGAACCAGGGAAAGGATCATAGTGGGAAAAGTGATACAATCTGAGCTAAGAGCATTGTGTGCCTGTTCGTTTCCTAATTGGCTCGTCATTCTGTGCTTAAGGGCTCCCCTGAGAGCTCAGCTGGTAAAGAATCCGCCTGCAATGCAGGGCACCCTGGTTTATCCACTGGAGAAGGGATAGGCTACCCACTCCAGCATTCTTGGCTTTCCTTGTGGTTCAGCGTGAAGAGTCCACCTGCAATGCGGGAGACCTGGGTTCGATTCCTGGATTGGGAAGATCCCCTGGAGAAGGGAAAGACTGTCCACTCCAGTGTTCTGGCCTGGAGAATTCCACTGACTGTAAAGTCCCTGGGGTTGCAAAGAGTCGGACACGACTGAGAGACTTTCACTCTCACTTTCTGTGCTTATCTAAGTAAGCCGTTCATACCTGGGAAAGCTGGGAGAAGGGCAGACAGGAACTATCTGTACTATTTCCACAACAAGTTTTGTAATGCCGAAATTATCTTAAGATGAGAAGCCCCCAAGTTACTGTGAGAGCTTCACCACCCGCTGGTCAGCCTGGCCTCTGCCCGGCCGAGGCGCCTGCAGCTCAGGGGTCTGTGCACTCTGCCCCCCGACCCCACCCCAAGGCCCAGCCGAGTGGGGGCTCGGGGTGAGGAAGAGGCCAGGGCGGGGTCTGGGGTCCCGGGGTCGACAGCCCAGGCCCCAGCGTGCCGTGCAGGCTAAGCCATGGGGTCCCCCACCCACAGGCAGGCCTAGTCCAGGGCAGGGGTCCCGGGGGAGCAGGGAGGAGGCCCCGTCCTCCCCAGAGCTGGACCCCTGGCCTCCCTGAGGGTCTCCCAACCCAGGTCCCATCTCCCCACAGCCTGACCTGGCCTCCGCACACTCTTCCTAAGTCACCCATCAGATCCCCACCCCCGAGCCCACCACCACTGCGGGGGTCTCTGCCACTGAGCCCCAGGGCAGCATGGGGCTTCTCTGGCAGCCCCCTGCCTCCAGCCTCCCTCCCCTCCCTACCCCCTGCCACCCAGCACCCTCTTCCCTCATCTGCCCCTCCACCCAGAGCCTCTCCTGAAGCCAGCCCCACACCCCCCATCCACACACAGACACCACCTCACCTCCTACACGCACCCACCTGCACACAGAGACACACACACACACCTGTGCACACACAGAGACACACACACCTGTGCACACAGACACACACCTGTACACACACACACCTGTGTACACAGAGACACACACACACCTGTGCACACAGAGACACACCTGTACACACAGAGACACACATCTGTGCACACACAGACACACCTGTACACACACACACACACCTGTTCACACAGAGACACACACCTGTGCACACACACACACACACCTGTGCACACAGAGACACACACCTGTGCACACACACAGACACACATACCTGTACACACAGACACACACCTGTGCACACACACCTGTGCACACACAGAGACACACACCTGTGCACACACAGACACACACACCTGTGCACACAGAGACACACACCTGTGCACACACACAGACACACATACCTGTACACACAGACACACACCTGTGCACACACACCTGTGCACACACAGAGACACACACCTGTGCACACACAGACACACACACCTGTGCACACAGAGACACACACCTGTGCACACACACAGACACACATACCTGTACACACAGACACACACCTGTGCACACACACCTGTGCACACACAGAGACACACACCTGTGCACACACAGACACACACACCTGTGCACACAGAGACACACACCTGTGCACACACACAGACACACATACCTGTACACACAGACACACACCTGTGCACACACACCTGTGCACACACAGAGACACACACCTGTGCACACACAGACACACACACCTGTGCACACAGAGACACACACCTGTGCACACACACAGACACACATACCTGTACACACAGACACACACCTGTGCACACACACCTGTGCACACACAGAGACACACACCTGTGCACACACAGACACACACACTTGTGCACACAGAGACACACACCTGTGCACACACAGACACACACACCTGTGCACACAGACACACACACCTGTTCACACAGAGACACACCTGTACATACAGACACACACACCTGTGCACACACAGACACACACACCTGTTCACACACAGACACACTCACCTTACCTACTACAAAGACACCTGTGCACACACAGACACACACACCTGTACATAGACACCACCTTGCCTTCTAGACACACACACCTGTTCATACAGAGAGACACACACACAGAGACACACATCTGTTCACACACAGACACACACACCTATACACACAGATACCACCTTACCTCCTATTCACACACACTCTCCCATACACACACAGATACCACCTATACACACACAGAGACACACGCCTGCACACAGACACCACCTGTCCTCCCATACACACACACAGACCCGTGCTCCCTGTTCCAGGCTCCCAGCACTTCTCAGGCACCTCCCTGAGCGTATTTTCTGCTCTTGGCCATTTTACAGAAGAACTACAGCTTCTGGGTCCTCTGTTCCTTGCTCATTTCCTAGCAATTAAATTTGGATTTGCCCCTTCTTGAACCTGAAGGCGGAAGGGGCAACCCACTCCAGGATTTTTGCCTGGGGAATCCCATGGACAGAGGAGCCTGGCGGGCTACAGTCTAGTGGGTCTCTAAGAGTCAGACGCGACTGAGCAACTTAGCATGTACTTCTTGAACAGTTTGTTGAACACGAAGATGAAGACCTGAAACCCACATTACGCAAAGGGGGAGAGGGCGGGTAGGGCCATGGCTTCCTCGTTCCTAGTGCTGCCTGCCCCTGCTGGCCCTCAGTGCCCAGGGTGGGTGTGGGGTCTATGGTGATGCTCAGGGCTCTCCCTGCAGCTGGGAGCCACCATCTCTGGGTCTGACCTTCCCGAGAGAGACCCGAAACCTCGGCCCAGAAAGGAAACTGAATTGGGAATTGTGTATGCACGCGTGGCTGTGCGAGTAGATGGTCAGGTGTGCTTGGGGTCCCTCCCACCTCCCCTCCTGAGACATAATGACAGTCTCCAGGCCCACCTCCAAGGTCACCTCCCGCTCCTCTTCCAGGTCTGTCTTGTTGCCGACCAGCATCACCACGACTTCTCCAGAGTGGAACTCCTCCTCCAGGTCCTTCAGCCACTGCTGTGCTTTGCAGAAGGAATCCTGAAAAAGGTAAAGAGGACCATCAGGCAGACCTGGTGTTCTTCCTGAGCCGTCCCAGAAAAGACAAGGCAGGTGTCGGTGGCCACCCTGTGTAAAATATGGTCTAACTGACCCACCCAAGGAATCATGAGTGATGGATGCTGATGCTCCAGAAAGAGGACCACGGAGGGGCACAAACCCAACTGGGCAGCAGGAAGAGGGGTGGTCAGCGAGGGCTTCCTGGAGGAGGTGGCCAACTTTCGCTGAAGGGTTCTCCACTGGTGTCACGATTTTAATATAAAGGACCAGCACAGGCCAGTCACATGATGCCTCCAGAAGGTAGCCTCCTCGTGCCTGGGAGGGCGGGGACACGCCCAGGGGAGCCTCACCTTCCTGGTGACATCATACACCAAAAGCGCAGCATTGGCGCCCCTGAAGTAGAGGTGGCAGACGCTGTGGTACTTCTCCTGACCAGCCCTATCCCAGATGATCTCAAACTTCAGAGGCGCGGCCCCCAAGTCCACCACCGTGGTGAAGAACACACCTGAAACCCGAGCCCAAAGTGAGCTTTCCCTGCAGAACAAGGCCTTTACCCACAGCTCAGCCTGGGCTCGGCTCACCAGTGGGAGATAGCTCCCTGGCACCCTCTGTGGGCAAGGCTCGGCAAACACCTCTTCTGGAAGGTGGCAGTTTCCAGAAGAAGCAGAGATACAAGGAACTTGCTTGTAGATTACACGGAGGCTTTGTGTAGGAAGATAGACTCCAGGGTCCTACTCAAATCCTCTGAACTATGTGTGGTATGGAACAGTCTCTGGCAACCAGGGGTCCGCACGTCCCCATGAGTGTCCAGCAGTGCAACTGACAGTCACCCAGCTCCTCCCCCAAATCCTTCCTGGCCTCCTGCTAACCTCCCAGCCTCATCCACACCTCTGCCTCCCGACCTCCCGTGTCCACTGACATCCCTGCTTAGAGTCCTCGCTCTTCCCCGCCTCCCAGCAAGCCCACTGGGGTCTTTCAGTGTCAGCCCTCGGGCCCCTTCCTCCGGGGGCCGTCTGTGGAAGCCTGTCCTGTGCTCTGCGCACACGCGCTGCAGGCTCGGTCGGCCCTGGGGGCAGAGAGCGCCTGGGCTTCCATCTCCCATGTCTCTGCTTAATGGTCACACACAATGAGAGAGCTACCCCAAACCTTCCATTTGACACCCTGGGCAATCCACCTTTCATGGGAAGGCTGCTTTTCCCCTTCACAGAGCTTTCCCAAATGACGTGACTTTATGGGGGCTAATTAGTAACACCAAGACGTTTTGTCCCCAGAATGTAAATTGGTGCAGCCACTATGGAAAACAGTGTGAAGGTTCCTCAAAAAAGTAAAAATAGAGCTACCATATAGTCCAGCAATCCCACTCCTGGGCATGTATCCAGAAAAGAAAAGAGCTCTAGTTAGAAAAGATATGTGCATCCCAATGTTCATAGCAGCATTATTTACAATAGTCAGGGCCTGGAAGCAACCTAGATGTCCATCAGCAGATGAATGGATAAAGAAGGTGTGGTACATATATACAATGGAATATTACTCAGCCATAAAAAACAATGGAATAATACCATCTGCAGCAATATGGATGGACCTAGAGATTATCATACTAAGTGAAGTAAGTCAGAAAGAGAAAGACCAATGCCACATGACATCACTTAATGCAGAATCTAAACTATGACACAGATGAACTCATCTATGAAACAGAAAGACACACAGAACAGACTTGTGGGTGCCAGGGGAGGGGATGGGAAGGGATGGATTGAAGTCTGGAATTAGCAGATACAAGCCCTTACATACAGGACGGAGAAACAACAAGGTCCTACTGCAGAGTGCAGGGAACTATGTTTAGTGTGCTGTGATAAACCATAATGGAAAAGAAACGAACAAGAATGTATCCATGTGCACAACTGAATCACTTCTCTGTACAGAAGAAGTTAAGACAACATTGCAAATCGACCATACTTCAATAAAATAAATGTTATTTTTAAAAAGATGCTCTGGCCCTGTAGCATATGGGCTGTGTCACATACAGAACTAAACCAGAGACTGCGGGGGAGCCGGTGGGGTGCTCCAGGTGAAGCTGCTGCCCTGCGCAGACCCGGGCTGGGTCGGGGGCTTGTTGGGAGATTCTGGCAGATGTGGCCGCATGCTTGAAATGAAAATTTTCACTCCAAGGGCGGCATGTGAGTGTCCTGGGGTTGCCAGAACAAATGACCACAAGATGGGTGGCTTAAAATTGCAGGAATGTATTATTTCAGTTGTGGGGGTCAGGAGTCCAAAATCAAGGTGTCGCCAGGGTTGGTTCCTTCCAGAAGTTCTGGGAGGGACTCTGCTCCACGCCCCCTCCCGACTCCGGGTAGGGGCAGCAGTGATGGGTGATCCTGGCTTGTAGGTGCTCCCCCCTCTGCTGCTGGTTTCACAGGACTGTCCCCTCTGCATCTCTGTGTTCTTCTGTTCCAGGGACACTGGTCATGGGATTCAGGGTGCACCCAAAATCCAGGAACAGCCTTAACTAGTTATGTCTGCAAACACCCCTTCCCCAGTGAAGCCATAGGTACTGGGGGTTAGGGCATGGATGTGTCGTTGCAGACACAGTTCAGTCCACTACAGATGGAAGGTCAGAGACACGTCTGGGCTCAGATTCTAGCACTGAAAGGGGGAGATAACTTTTCTCACAGGAATCTAGTTTGGGGCTGCTCCTAAACGGAAGCCGCTGACGGGGCCTCTGCCTGCATGACCTGTATTCTGCTCATCCACAAGCCTGGAGTCATATACACGTGTTAGGTGCTATGGACTGAATGACTGTGTTCTCCCAAAGTCAGTGGGTGGAAGCCCTAACCCTCAGCGTGATGGTATTTGGAGATGGAGCCTTTGCGAGGTGATTAGGCTTAGATGAGTCCTGAGGGTGGTGGTCTAGGTGCTCAGTCATGTCCGACTCTAGCGACCCCATGGACTGTGTAGCCTGCCAGACTCCTCTGTCCATGGGATTCTCCAGGCAAGAATACTGGAGTGGGTTGCCATTTCCTTCTCCAAGGGATCTTCCTGACCCAGGGATTGAACCTGGGTCTCCTGCATTGCAGGTAGACTCTTTATAATGACTGAGCTACAAGGAAAGTCCGCCTGAGGGTGGGGCCCCCAAAACAGGGTTAGTGCCCTTGTAAGAATGCACCCCCATCATGTTCTGTCTCTCTGTTTTTCTGTGTATGTCTCTCTCTCTGTCTCTCCCTCTCTGTGTCTGTTTGTCTCTCTCCCTGTCTGTCTCTCTTTCTCTATCCCTTGCAAACACAAGAAGAGGCAATGCAGACACACAGCCAGTTACCAGGATGGCAGCTACCCATAAGCGAAGAAAAGAGGGCTCAGAGTGAAACCTACTTTGCCAGCTGGAGTGGGTTGCCATTTCCTTCTCCAGGGGACCTCTCCGACCCAGGGATCTTCCCACATTGCGGGCAGGCGCTTTACCCTCTGAGCCACCAGGGAAACCTGAACAGGACGAAATTCCACTAGGACTGTTGACGTCATGAGGGTGAGGGCTGAGCACGGGCCTTGTAAGGAGGCCTATCCGCTGCAAGAACTTTGCTGATTTCCTTAAACCTTCGAAAGCCCAGCTTCCTCCTTTGCCATGAATCAACACTGTCCTCTTCCCAGCGTGATGTCAAACCCTTGAGAAAAGAGAGGAGGCGCCTGTCTGGCACCTGACGTCCCTTCCCCCGCCTCCCTGTCCCCTCTCCCGGCTCCTTGGCCCCTTGGCGGGAGCAGCAGCCTTTTGCCTACATGCTTCGCCTGTTTGTGTCAGGTCACATCACACTTCTGAGTTCCATTTTGGTCTCATCCTAAAAACCCTCATTGCCGGGTGACAGGTGGGCATAAAACTCATGTGTGTTTCCTCTGTTTAGCTGTCTAAGCTTCTGACATTTTCCTTTTCTACTCTGAAATTGACAACTCATAGTTGAGTGTAAATCAATGTATTTAATAAAATCCTAACAAATTTCCAGGGTGGGCAGGGTTTTCAGTTGGAGCAATGATGTGGTACAAGAGGCTGCTGGCTATTTACAGACCACAGCACCTCATCTCCAGGGAGAGAGAGAGAGAGACATGGGCCCCTAGGGGGCCCTCTGGGCTGGTAACTGATGCCAACTTCTACCCCCTGCCCTGCAGACTCTCTGGCTCCAGAAAAGACCCCACATGTATTACCTTCCTTGTTCAGAAAACTGCTGACCAAATTTTCTACCTGTTCACAGGTAAAGACTAAGAGTGATTAAGAGATAAACTCCCAAGATATGCAAACAGACTTGGAGATTTTGCCTAAAATGTCATTGGCAACAAGCCAGGGCCTGCGGGCAGGATCAGTCCAAGAACCAGGAACTGTTCACGTTTCTGGGACATGCGGGGGGAGATGACACACTGGTGCGTTTTCATCAGATGATAATCTGAACCGGGGCCACCTGGCACGCTGCTCTTCATGGTGACGCAAAGCAGGGCTCTGACCTCCTCTGGCCCCACCGCAGGTTCAACAAGGGGCCCCAGTGCCAGGGACACCGGGGACACTTCCGGCCCCTCCCCAGCCCCTGGGAGCAGGCGTGCCTTCCACTTGCTGAGCTGAACGGACCCCCTGTGGACACTGCATGACTGAAGAACTCACTGGGGGTTTTCCTTCAACTTGCATATTGTGGCCCCCAATACAAAGGAGTCTCAGCTAAACGTTAACACGAGGAAAGGTTTTGCTTTTTGACCTTTTAATTGAATTAAACAGCCGCTCCGGCTCACTCAAGCCCTCTCTGCAGCCTTCCCTTTTTGTGTAAAAGTCATGAACTGCCTCTGGGTTGCAGAGAACGCGACGTGGGTGACTCCTCGGCGCGCCTGGGCTCCAGCAAAGCTTCCTCCAGCAGGGAGGGGGCGGGGGAGAAACCCGGCACCCTTGGCCACTCCCCTGCTTCACACAAGGCCCAGCTGGTACAAGCTGGTTCCACCTGCAAATCCGCACACAAACACTAGATGTCACCACCCCTCCAGGGACAGCACTGAAACGTGTGGGTAAAGAACCCATCTGCCAGGGCAGGAGGTCTTAAAGAGACATGGGTTTGATCCCTGGGTCGGGAAGATCCCCTGGAGGAGGAGATGGCAACCCACTCCAGTATTCTCGCCTGGAGAAACTCTTGGACAGAGGAGCCTGGTGGGCTACAGTCCATGGGGTTGCAAAGAGTCGGACACAACTGAAGCAACTTAACACACGCGCGCACACACACCCACACCCCCCTCAGCCAGAGGGTGTGGGCCACTGAGAATACACAGATGTGGGCGGGGCTCTGTTTCCAAATAACCTTATTCACAAAAACAGGCAGAGCCCTGTGAGTTCACAGGTCGGATCTCAACCCTCTGGCTGGGCTGGGACACGGAGGGCTGTATGCCTAGGTGTGAACCTGGATCCGGATTCAGGGCACGGAGACAGCAAGGACCAGCCTGGAAGGCTTGTCCAGATCCAGGTTCACACCCAGGCACACGACCCCCCATATCCCAGCTCGGCAGGGCCCCTTCTGTGGTCTCTGCTCTGGACTAAAACCCACCTGGAGGCCAGACTTAGCACTTCGTTGTATTTTTTCCTTTAAGGCCCAGTCCAGTATCACAGGTGAGTGGTGCCAGCTTGCCTGCTGAAGAAGAGGTTGCCCTGTGCACCCTCGGTGGGCCTGAATCCACAGTCCTGTCCCCACAACTCCATCCCATGGCCAGCCCTTCACTCTGCTCCGCCCGTCCCACCGCCAACTCCAGGGCCCTGGCCCTGGCCAGTCCCTTTGGCCCTGCATGCCTCAGGGATGCAGGAACCACCCTCCTGAGAAGACTAAGGGCCCCCAAAGACTGTGCATTGAATTTCGTGTTAAGTTTCTATGTCAGTGTGCCTGCTTGGCATTTAGAAAATCCTCCATGCCTATTAGGGGCCTGGAGCAGAGGCCACACCCAGCAGGTACTTACTAAGTGAGAGAAGGAGTGAATGAATGAGTGAATAGATGAGTGAATAAATGAATGGATGCAGAGAAATGGAAGGCTTATCCATCAGTATTAGTATCAGTTCAGTCGCTCAGTCGTGTCCGACTCTTTGTGACCCCATGGACTACAGCACGCCACGCTCCCTGTCCATCACCAACTGCCAGAGTTTACCCAAACTCATGGCCATTGAGTCGGTAATGCCATCCAACCATCTCATCCTCTGTCGTCCCCTTCTCCTCCTGCCTTCAATCTTTCCCACCATCAGGGTCTTTTCACATCAGGTAGCCAAAGTATTGGACTTTCAACTTCAGCATCAGTCCTTCCAATGAATATTCAGGACTGATTTCCTTTAGGAAGGACTGGTTGGATCTCCTTGCAGTCCAAGGGACTCTCCATAACAGAGTCCAAATTTCAAACCAAAGCTTTCATTCCAAATTAGGTGTCTTTCCCCCACGTTGGGCTGCCTTCCAAGTGAATTGACACAAAGTACATGTTAGGTTTCCCTATTTTAGATGGGAAGTGGGGGGTTTTCACCCCTAGACAGGGTGTGCAGGAGGCTGATTGCCCACAGATGCTCCAAAGTCCTTCCCCTCTGAAGGCTGTGACTCGTTAGCCTCTTTAAGCAGCACAGAGAGAGGGGCCTCCCTCCCTGACAACCCTTCCGACAGCACCCATCCCCTCTCCAACCCAAGCCAGAGGGTAAACTGAGTCTGGGCAGAAAAGGAATAGCTTTAGTGGGAGGGCAACCAGCCAGAGTGAGAGGCTGGCTTGTCTAGGGGGCCGGTGGCAGAGCGTGGGGGCAGATGCTTCATCTGGGCTCCCCCTCCACCAACAAAATCTCTCACATACCCAACCCTTCAGGGCCAGACTCAGCCCTGGAGTCTTCACTCCCTCCCAGCAGACTCCAGCTAAGCTGAAGCCTGGTTGAGTTTTGGATTCTGTGTGCGTACCTGCCGGCCTACAGAGGACCTTGTGACCCTGGCACGCACCAGGCACTTCCTGAGGCTCCAGGAGGCATGAGAAATTCCCAGGTGGCTGGTTCCCATGTGCCCCACACCCAGGTCAGCAGCTCTGGCTTCCCCACTAGGAGACTGAGGAAGGGGTGCCCTGTCCCATCACTTACATCCCACAGTGGGCAGGATACTCTTGAAGTCCTTCTTCACATACCAGAGAGCCAAGCTGGACTTGCCCACAGAGCCACTGCCCAGGAGAACCAACTTGAAGATGCAGGGCTGGCCCAGGGCGGCCCCAGGACGAGGGACCCCATTCACCTGCGCCATGCCCTGCAGAGAGACAGTGATGCAAGGAGGTTGAATGTCTGATGCCAAATGATCTCAGCAAGCTCACCCCCGAGACACTGACCAAACATGGACAGCCCTGAACGGAATGGAGTTCTAAGTCAGAGGCACCTGGCTTGCCAGTCCTGGGCCACTATATACCCCATCTTGCCATCTGGAAATCGGAGTGACCAATAGCTATGACACAGGTCTGTTGTGATGTGCTGGGAAAGCATGTCCCCAGTGCCCTGCAGGGCCAATGTATACGAACATCTTCAGACCCTGCAAAGTAGCCTTTGTATGCTAGTCATCGTACCAACTCACTTTCCTCCTTCTATCACCTCTCACTTTTGAAAAATCCGTAGCTACTCCAAAAATGTTCTGAAAAGCCCGAGAGATACAGCACTCTCTCAGTTGTGGTTCATGGACTAAAACTGGTTGGTAAATAGTTTCCAGAAAACCTATTTACAAAAATGTTTAGTGTTTCAAGGATCTCAAAACATTTTAGTATTTCACACTGTATTGAAAGCCTTAAAACATACAGTCATAACAAGCACCCTCTTCCAACAACACAAGAGAAGACTCTGCACATGGACATCACCAGATGGTCAACATTGAAATCAGATGGATTATATTCTTTGCAGCCAAAGAGGGAGAGGCTCTACAAAGTCAGCAAAAACAAGACCGGGAGCAGACTGTGGCTCAGACCATGAACTCCTTACTGCCAAATTCAGACTTAAACTGAAGAAGGTAGGGGAAACCATTAGAGCTTTCAGATTTGACCTAAATCAAATCCCTTACGATTATACAGTGGAAGTAACAAATAGATTCAAGGGATCAGATCTGACAGACAGAGTGCCTGAAGAACTATGGATGGAAGTTTGTGACATTGTACAGGAAGCAGGGATCAAGACCATTCCCAAGAAAAAGAAATGCAAAAAGACAAAATGATTGTCTGAGGAGGTCTTACAAATAGCTGAGAAAAGAAGAGAAGTGTAAGGCAAAGGAGAAAAGGAAAGATATACCCATTTGAATGCAGAGTTTCAAAGAATAGCAAGGAGAGATAAGAAAGCCTTCCTCAGTGATCAATGCAAAGAAATAGAGGAAAACAATTGAAAGGGAAAGATTAGAGATCTCTTCAAGAAAATTAGAGATACCAGGGGAACATTTCATGCAAAGATGGGCACAATAAAGGACAGAAACGGTATGGACCTAACAGAAGCAGAAGGTATTAAGAAGAGGTGGCAAGAATACACAGAAGAACTATGCAAAAAAGATCTTTATGACACAGATAATCACGATGGTGTGATCACTCACCTAGACCAGACATCCTGGAATGTGAAGTCAAGTGGGCCTTAGGAAGCATCACTACGAACAAAGCTAGTGGAGGTGATGGAATTCCAGTTGAGCTATTTCAAATCCTGAAAGATGATGCTGTGAAAGTGCTGCACTCACTATGCCAGCAAATTTGGAAAGCTCAGCAGTGGCCACAGGACTGGAAAAGGTCAGTTTTCATTCCAATCCCAAAGAAAGGCAATGCCAAAGAATGCTCAAACTACCGCACAATTGCACTCATCTCACACGCTAGTAAAGTAATGCTCAAAATTCTCCAAGCCAGGCTTCAGCAATACGTGAACCGTGAACTTCCAGATGTTCAAGCTGGTTTTAGAAAAGGCAGAGGAACCAGAGATCAAATTGCCAACATCCGCTGGATCATCGAAAAAGCAAGAGAGTTCCAGAAAAACATCTATTTCTGCTTTATTGACTATGCCAAAGCCTTTGACTGTGTGGATCACAATAAACTGTGGAAAATTCTGAAAGAGATGGGAATACCAGACCACCTGACCTGCCTCTTGAGAAACCTGTATGCAGGTCAGGAAGCAACAGTTAGAACTGGACATGGAACAACAGACTGGTTCCAAATTGGGAAAGGAGTACATCAAGGCTATATATTGTCACCCTGCTTATTTAACTCATATGCAGAATACATCATGCGAAGTGCCAGGCTGGATGAAGCACAAGCTGGAATCAAGATTGCTGGGAGAAATATCAATAACCTCAGATATGCAGATGACACCACCCTTATGGGAAAAAGTGAAGAAAAACTAAAGAGCCTCTTGATGAAAGTGAAAGAGGAGAGTGAAAAAGCTGGCTTAAAACTCAACATTCAAAACACGAAGATCATGGCATACAGTTCCATCACTTCACGGCAAATAGATAGGGAAACAATGGAAACAGTGACAAACTTTATTTTCTTGGGCTCCAAAATTACTGTGGATTATGACTGCAGCCATGAAATCCAAAGACACTTCCTCCTTGGAAGAGAAGCTATGACCAACCAAGACAGCATATTTAAAAGCAGAGACATCACTTTGCCAACGAAGATCCATATAGTCAAAGCTATGGTTTTTCCAGTAGTCATGTATGGATGTGAGAGTTGGACTATAAAGAAAGCTGAGTGCTGAAGAATTGATGCTTTTGAACTGTGGTGCTGGAGAAAACTCTTGAGAGTCCCTTGGAAATCAAGGAGATCATACAGTCAATCCTAAAGGAAATCAACCCTGAATATTCATTGGAAGGACTGATGCTGAAGCTGAAGCTCCAATACTTTGGCGACCTGATGAGAAGAGGTGACTCATTGGAAAAGACCCTGATGCTGGGAAAGATTGAAGGCAGAAGGAGAAGGGGACAACAGAGGATGAGATGGTTGGATGGCATCCTAACTCAATGGACATGAGTTTAAGCAAGCTCCAGGAGATAGCAAAGAACAGAGGAGCCTGGCGTGCTGTAGTCCATGGGGTCGCAAAGAGTTGGACATGATTTAGTGACTGAACAACAATAAAATTTTCTGAATTGGGGCTTCCCTGGTGGCTCAGTGGTAAAGAACTCTCCTGCCAATGCAAGAGACGTGGGTTCAGACCCTGGGTCAGGAAGATCCTCTGGAGAGGGAAATGGCAACCCACTCCAGTATTCTTGGAAAACCCAATGGACAGAGGAGCCTGGAGAGCTACAGTCCATGGGGTCACAAAAGAGTTGGACATGCTTAGCAACTAAATAACAACAACAATTTTCTGCATTACTTCTAGAAAAATCTTTCTCTGAAAATTGGCCAAATCCACCTCAGAGCCAGCCCATCTTGTGAGCAGAGCCTCTCCCATCTCGATGTAGGAAGGGAAGGGATTCTGAAGAGGGAAGGAAGACACAGAGATCAGTAGGAAGCAACCCCCAACCCCAAACCCCCAAAGTCCCCAGCAAGCAGCCAGGGCCACAGGCTGGCCTGCTCTGCCCTGTGGGGACAAGAGGAAAACAATCGAATTTGGGATAAAAGTTTCAAAACAAACAGGAGCAAGTCCTAAATACCAATAAGGCTTTCTAAGCAGAAAGTGCCTGGAGTTACCATGCCTGGCAGACAAGGGCTCACAGGCCCATCTGCTCCCCGGGGAAAGGGACTCAGCAGAGCTGAGTCATTCTCGGAGACCGTGTCTGGAACCCCATCTTCCTCGGGATACTTAATAGTGTCAGTGGGTGACATCCCACCAGGGCACCCTGCAGCATCTTCTGCGGCCCCCAGACTCACAGCTGTCTGAGGTTGGGGGGCGGGTTCTACAAGGGCCAGCCCTCTCTCCAGAGCCCACCACCCTTGCAAGAACTCAAAGCTGTCCTGCTACAGACTTCTGACCCATGGGTAGAAATGAAACTCAAAGGCAAAGTAAAATAGGGACTTCCCTGGTGGTCCAGTGGTTAAAACTCTGAGCTACCATGACGGGGAACATGGGTTTGATCCCTGGTGGGGGAACTAAGATTCCACATGCCAAGTACCATGCCCCAAAAAAATAAATAAATAAGTTAAAACACTTTTCCCAAAAAAGACACAGTAAAATAAACAGTAAGGACAAACAGGGAGCCCCCCGACCTAGCTGGCCTTCCAGGGTTAAAATGATGCCTGTAACTCCGCTCTGCAGGTCAAAGGGCAAACCAGAGTCTGGAAAGCAGCCTGAAGCCCCAGGAGAGATAACAAACAGACACAGGTTCAAAGGTCAGGGGTTGCTAGAGCCACTTTTCTGGCAACCACACAGCCAAATAACCTGGGGAATTGGCTTGACGGGAGCAGCTACATCTGCTCTTCATTCACGTTGACACAGATCCCTCTCCAGCTGCAGTGTCCTGTCTGTTCTCACAACTGCCACTCCTGCATCACCCCCAGCCCGATACCCACCGCCCCCACCCCATCGTGCCTCCAGTCCTCATAAATAGCAGCTCATAAAAGAGACAACACTCCCTGCCATCGTCCGGCCTGCAGCTCCCTGTTCTTCTTCTTGATTGAAATGATCTCAGTGTCCAACTCTACCTTAATTCAGTTACTGTGATGGTAATCGTTTCTCTCTCGCGCTGGGCTGTAACCTCTCCTGAATGCAGAGCGGTCAGTGAGATTGCTGTTATTGTTGTTGCTGTTGTTCAGTCGCTAAGTCGTGTCCAACTCTTTGTGACCCCGTGGACTACAGCATGCCTGGCTTCCCTGTCCTTCACCATCTCCCGGAGTTTGCTCAAACTCATCTTCATTGGGTTCGTGATGCTATCTAAGCACTGAGATTATAGTAGGTGCTTGATAAAGATCTCATGAGTGAACGTGGGATTGGCTTAGCAAGAAGCCAGCATGTTAGACATAGCTTGTATAGCCAGCCCTACGCCAGGCAGCTTGTCAAGCAGTGGGCTGGAGTCTCTGCAGAAAGAGAACCAGAGGACGGGGCCTCCAGCAGGCCCTGAGACCAGCTTCTGCCAGGCAGCTCAGCCTGAGAGCAACAAAAGCAGAAAGTTACTGAAAGTTGGGTCACTGACTCGATGGACATGAGTTTGAGCAAGCTCCAGGAGTTGGTGATAGACAGGGAAGCCTGGCATGCTGCAGTCCATGGGGTTCCAAAGAGTTGGAAATGACTGAGTGACTGAACTGAACTGAACTGCCTTTAGGATGACCCTACATTCAGATGAAGCTGCTAAAACAGCACG